CGTAAACACCGAAATCGAAAACTTCTAGTCGACGGATATCTTCTACTCGCAAATTCAGCGTCTCACAACCATAAAGCAGAACTGAACGAACGGTGGCACAATAGACACGACCTTTCAACGTCGCGTCTAGGCCAAAGGTGTTTCAGTCCTGTGTATGCTGCTCGAGCCTAGGAAATGCGGGCGGTTATCCCCTTTGGTGCACTACCGTCATTGGTCATCGTATCAGCACATGCACCGACAGTTCTGATACCCAAAAGGATGCTTTCTAGGATGAACTAACCGATCTCATTCGGATGAGTCGAAGCTCCGACATAGCTGTACTTGCATGTGACTTCAACGCACAGGTTGAAAAACTGAGCGCATCAGAAGCTTGCCTAGGCGGTAGTTGTGCTCTGCCCAGCCACTGAACAGATAACAATGATCGACTTCTTCAGTTCTGCGCAGACCATCATCTGTTCCTATGAAGTACCAACTTCTGACACACCTCTCGACGGACGGCAACGTGGCGCTCCAGTTCAACTGGTACGTTAACTCAAATCGACCACATCCCAGTAAGTTCCGCTGGCGTAGCTCAGTGCAAAATTGCAAGTCCTATTGGACCACCTGCGTTGAGTCTGACCACGCATTAGTTCTGATGCAGTTCACTGTCCGACTGTCTGGTCGGCGAAATAAATCCAGCAAGCTCGGATACCTCATCAACGACTATCTGCTCCAGCAGATTGTGCACGTTATGAGTCAGAGCAAGTGCGTAGGGTAAGTGTGTTTCAGCGTGATGATGTAGACGAGCAGTGAGGTCAGATTAGGTGAGCAATGCATTCCTCATTGAATGTTGCTTGTGGGTCTGAGCCTCAAGCCCAACGGAGGCATTGGATATCTGATGAAACAGTGGAACTGATGCAGCGAAGACGACAAATCCCGACCTGCCAGGATCAAAATAGTTAGGTGGCAGCTACTACGTCGGCTCATGAGGAGCCTCAAGAAAGACTGTGAGAACTGGTGGGCAACAATAGCTACTTAAATGGAAGTAATAGCTGCATCACGGAATAGTCAAAGACTGTTCCGACTGATACGCCATACGGGAGGTCGGCGAACTCCAGTTAGTGAAACAGTCTGCGATAAGAGGGGACGAGCTATTCA